TTGGCCACATTGAACCCCATTTGCCACCTGGCTATCCTCGACAGATCCCTTTGGAGTGCCTCACAATCCTCACTGGTCTTCATCACCCTGAACAACTTCGTATCATCCGCAAAATACTTCTTTGACTGAAGATCCTCTGAGCTCTTTGAAGACGGGTGAAGCCAACCGCTAAGAACAGATGGGAGTGGAAAGAAATCCTGGGAGAGCCCCTGCATTTACTTTCTGCGTCCCCGTTTTCAGCTGAGGCGATCACCAGGCATGGGCTCCTCTCTCGTGTCAGGGATCAGAAAAGCAGCCAGGACAGGACTCGGCAAGAGGCAGGGTGGGGGAAACACCTCCCAGCGTCTTGGACTATGTAGAAGGACCAGCAGGATTGCTGGAGGGGCCGTGGTGCCTCCGTCCATCTAGGCCAGAGCGGGTCTCCTGGGAAGCCCTCCCGCAGGGCCTGCAAAGTGATGAAAGGCCCCCTCTGGATAACATCCAGTGAGAGACCTCCATAAGTCTTTCTAAGGAGATTTTAAACACACCCAAGCCAATGGCCATCAGCACATCTTGTGGCAAGGAGTTCCACAAATCAACTCATGCTCCTGTTGCTCAGTTCTTCATCTATTGCCAGGGTCATGCTGCGGCCCCACGTTGCAGTATCTCTCCACCACATGCAATTTTGTGGACCTCTGACCATCCACTCCCTCAGTTGCCTTTTCCTAATCTAAAAAGCCCCTCACAAGAGGACACACGTTTCAGCCCTCTGAGCAGCGCGTGGTCCAAAAGCAGACTTCCATGTCACAGGGGGAGACCTTGCCCACTTCATAGCACCAGAGAGCTGGAAGGAGTCTCCAGGGTCAACAACAACAAGTTCCAAAAACCGAACTTCCACAAGTTCGATCGGGGAGACCGAGATCCAAAGAACAAACAGGCGTGACTACACCTCACTTCCGGTGGGAGCTCGGCTACTACATTTTGCGGCGACATGGAAAAATTTAAAGGCAGACCTTTGGGCACAGGAGACAGTCTCTCTAGGGTACATAATAGAGTTTCGTTCCCTTCCACCGGACAGATTCCTGATCTCTCCCTTCAGCAAATCTCCCGTAAAAAGAACACTGATCAACAAGGCATTACATCACCTGCTGGAAATAGAAGCCATCGAACCGGTGCCGCCTTCGGAGATCGGATGCGGGGTCTATTCTATACGGTTTCTAGTCCCCAAAAGAAACGGCGAATGGAGGGCGATCCTAGATTTAAAGTACCTCAACAAGTTCATCAAACTACGTCACTTCAGAATGGAAACCCTCAGATCTATTTCAGAGACTCTTTTACCAGAAGATTTTCTGACATCCATAGATCTCAAGGAAGCATACCTTCATGTTCCAATTCACCAAGCCCACCACAAATATCTCCGCTTTTGTGTCGGAGGTCGCCATTTCCAGTACCGAGCACTCCCCTTTGGGCTGTCTACGGCTCCAAGAGTATTTACCAAACTACTCATCAACCCAGTGGTCCATCTCAGAAAACAGGGTATCCACATCTATCCGTACCTGGACGATCTTCTAGTGAGAGGAAGGACTGTGGAAGGGGCGGTCCAGAACACCAGTCTAACATTACAATGCCTACAAGAACATGGGTTTGTTATCAATTTTCCCAAAAGTTGTCTACAACCAGCTCGTCGCATAGAACATCTGGGAGCCGTCATAGATACGAAGCTCAACTCACTAATTCTACCACGAGACAAAGTTACCAAGATTCGGAACATGGTCACGTCAGTGATACAGAGTTCATCGGTCAATCTGATGCTGCTAGCCAAACTGCTGGGACTCATGATCTCTTGCATAGATTTAGCACAATGGGCACGTCTACACTCAAGAGCACTTCAACGTTTCCTGAGACCTTACCAACTACAGATTGTGCAATGCAGGAGCGTGAGTCTACGCGTACCGAGGACGGTCAAAACAAGTCTTCTCTGGTGGACAAGTATACCAAATCTGACTCAGGGCAAGGTGTACCACGTTCCGTCCACTACAGAGATATTTACCGATGCCAGCCTCACAGGTTAGGGTGCTGTCATGGAATCGATCCCGGTCCAGGGAACGTGGTCCAAGGAGGAGCAAAGATTACCGATCAACCTCTTGGAACTGAGGGCAATTCGTCTGGCCCTTCGTCATTTCAGACAAGAGATACAGGGATGCCACGTTCTAATCTGGACAGACAATGTCTCGGCAAAAACATATCTGAACAACCAAGGGGGCTCGAGATCATCCCGTCTTCACCAGGAGGCGACCCAAATCCTCACCTGGGCAGAGAAAAACGTGAAATCCATACGAGCCGAACACATCAAGGGAACAGTCAACATCCAGGCGGACTGGCTCAGTCGACAAACTATCCAGGAAGGGGAATGGTCTCTCCACGGAAGACTATTTCACCTCATAGTGAATCAGTTCGGCCTACCCTTAGTAGATCTGTTTGCATCGACGGAGAATCATCAGCTACCATGCTTCTTCTCCAGGTATCACCATCACCTGGTGGAGGCGACAGATGCTCTGATAGCCCCTTGGCCTCCGGGACTTTTATACGCATTCCCTCCAATTCCCTTGATTCCAAGGACAATTCGCAAAATTCGAGAGGAAAAAGCACAAGTCATCCTAGTTGCTCCTCTGTGGGCCCGGAGACCATGGTACTCGGCACTGATGGAATTGGCCATCCTTCCACCATTGTGTCTTCCGACTCAACCGGACATGCTCCTCCAGGGACCGATATTTCATCCCCATCCGGAGTGGTTATGCTTAACCACTTGGAGGTTGAGCGGTCACAACTAGCCAACCTAGGATAGTCACATCAAGTCCTGGACACTATTCTAGCTTCCAGAAGACCATCTACCATACGAATCTACAACACTACTTGGAAGGCATTCGTCCGTTGGTGCAAAAGAAAGAAAGTGCCACCATTATCACCTACCGTGGCCTCGGTACTATCATTTCTTCAAGCTGGACTGGAGTCTGGCCTTAAGGCTTCGACCCTCCGCAGACAGACGGTGGCGTTATCCATAGTGCTGCCGGCGATGGGAGGGTACAAATTAACGAGACATCCTCACATTTCGTTGTTCTTACAGGACGCTCTGACCAAATCTCCACTGCAGATTCATCGCTTTCCAACTTGGAAATTGCACACGGTGCATACAGCCCTCACCAAACCTCCCTTTGAACCTCTGAGAGAAGTAGAGCTTCGATGGCTCAGGATGAAAACTATTTTCCTGGTGGCCATAACGTCTGCACGGCGAGTTTCCGAGATCAATGCACTGTCTGTAAAACATACACTATGCGTATTTCACAAAGACAAGGTCGTTCTGCGTACCGATCCCACCTTTCTACCGAAGGTAGCTTCACAGTTTCACCGTTCACAAGAAATATATTTTTCGACTTTTTGTCCGAACCCGAGTCATCCCAACGAAAAACTCTGGCACACCCTGGATGTCAAGCGAGCCTTGAAAATATATATTTCAAGAACTGAATCAATAAGGAAAACAGAGTTCATGTTTATTAATATAGCAGCACCGAGACGCGGTGACCGGATGTCCAAGTCCTCCATCAGCAAAGTCCTTAAATCTTGCATTGTGGAGGCGTATAAGGCTAGAGGCCTGGAGATTCCCAACGGAATTACTGCTCATTCCTTGCGCAGCGCCTCGACGAACGCAGCGTTAGACAACCGCGCAACAGTCGACGAGGTTTGCCGAGCTGCAACATGGACTTCCATCTCCACATTTGTTTGACATTACAAGCTGAACATCTTCGCATCAGCTGACGCGGCGTATGGACAAAGAGTTCTCCAGCACATTCTGACAACCAGTAACGAAGATGAGAACCCACCCAAATAAAAGGGGATACTGCTTTGGGAGGTCCCATGGAGATGTCCTCCGCCTCAGAGGGAGAACGACCCTTGGACACTTACCGTGAGGGGTCCTTCTCCTCCGAGGAAAGGAGGACATCTCGGCCCTCCCGCTCTTCATCTTCGCTTTTCATTTTTAACTTGCATTAACTTATCTTCTATTGCTGGAGCCACTTATCTTTTCCTACGTCTGTAACACTGATTGTTCACTATACTACCTTTCTGATCTTCAGATAAAAGTAGTATGTAATATAGTTCTTATCTTGTTAGTTGTAGTTTTCTTTACATATTGTTCGCAGGGAAGTTATCTAGTTAACAATCGTTACTGCTTGCGGAGTCCCAGAACTGAAGGGCTGGGCTATTCCCAAGGCGCCAAAAGGAAGGGGAAAAAAGTGTTTCCTGCCTCCCTAAAGGAATGATGGGAATAACCCATGGAGATGTCCTCCTTTCCTCAGAGGAGAAGGCCCCCTCACGGTAAGTGTCCAAGGGTCGTTTCCTGCCTCTCCACCTTCTCCTGGTTCCCTAAGACAAGCACAGCCAACATGTAATTTTGCTTACCTGAACACCCAGGAAAGAAGCTCTTGAGCCGAATTTCCCCCTGGACATCAGTTTTCATGGGAGTGCCCTGGGACCAGAGAGGGAAATAATCAAAAAGACTCAATCCCTCCCCAGCTGGTCGGATCCTGCAGATTCAGGGACAAGCTGTGCAGCAGGCAGGATGGGATTGGCTTCCTCAAATACATTCCTATGGCAGCAACTCACATTTGCCGCAATGACAACAGAGAGACGCTCAACCACATCGAGGAAGACCTCTGGCCGTGCACCCTGGGGAAAGGAGAGGGAGGGAGAGAGGGCAGTTGGTGGGTGGTAACCCAAGAAGAGGCCTGCTGGATCAGGCCAATAGTCCATCTAGTCCATCATAGCCTGTCTCACTCTCACACAGTGGTCAACCAGTTCCTCTGGATGGCCAACAAACAGAGGCCATAGAGGCCTTCCCCTGATGTTGTCTCCTGGCTCTGGGATACGGAGGCTTAAGTGCCTCTGAACATGCAGGTTCCCACCCTCAGTCACCAGGGCCAGTAGCCACCGCGACACTTATCCTCCATGAATGTCTATAATCCCCTTTAAAAGCTGTTTGGTTTTTTGGCCATCATCACGTTCTCCGGCAGCGCATGCCACATTTCAGTCACTCTCTGCGTAAAGCGATATTTCCTTTTGCCCACCCTCTCCGCCCCATGCATCATTTTATTAACCTCTGTCGTGTCCCCTCTTTTCTCGGGGAGGTGCCCCGGCCCCCTCCTCCTCCTCAAGTCTCAGCCAGCTCAGACCCCATTAGCCTATCCTTGAAGTTGGGATTTTTTGGGTCGCAATGCACATCACCTTACTCTCTCCAACACTGAAGTCCATGTGCCCCACTGTCACCCCCTCACCCAGTTTGTGGGAGTCCTACTGGAGCCACTACACTACTTGGCCGTAGTTCCAGATAATTTATGAAGAAAGTAAATATTCCAGCCCCAATACCAAACCTGGTGGGGCCACCCACCCCTTCCTTCCCTCCATCGTGAGAACTGTCCAGTGATCCCTGCTCTTGGCTTCCTGTCATTCAACCAGTTTTTAACCCATAAGAGAACCTGTCCTCTTACCCCTTAACTCAGGGGTGTTGAACTCATTTGTTACGACTCTGTTGGGCCGGGCCATGTGTACCATAAAACGTAATGCCAGGCACCGTAGATATACACTGTATCCTCACTGCAAGGCCCCATGGGCTAGGAGGGGGGTGCAAAGGAAAAACCCAAATGGGCAGACTGGAGAGCCAGCAGTGCAGCCCTGGGCAGACGCTCCCACGCTGCTTGACTGCTGCAGACGAGGTTCCGCCGCGCTGAAGCCACCATTGGAGCGGCTCCACGCACTCCCCCCCCCCCCAGCAGTCTCCTGTTCTCTCCCTTGCACTAGTTGCTCGCGGGCCGCATAACAGCTCTGGACAGGCCGGTTCTGGCTCCCGGGCCTTGTTTGACACCCCTGCCTTAACTACTAAAGAGTCTTTGGTGAGGTACCTTGTCCAAACCCTTTTGAAAATTCAGTGTATATAACATCTACCGGGTCACCACTGTCTATAATATGATTCTTCACTTTTTCAAAGAAGTCCAAAAGTTGGGTGAGGCAGGACTTCCCTTTACAGAAGTCATGCCGGTTTTCCCTCAACAGGCTTTGCCCCTCTATGAGCCTAACAATTCTGTCTCTGATTACAGTTTCTACTAATTTGCCTGGGACAGACATTAGCCGCCCTGAGCCCTACGGGGGAGGGTGGAGTATAAATTTAACAAATAAATAAATAAATAAATAGAATGGCTCGTCTGTAATTTCTTGGTCCCCTTATGGATCCCTTTCTAAAAATTGGTGTCACATTTGCTACTCTCCAGCCGTCTGGTACAGTGACTGAATTTAGTTATAGGTTACACATATAGGCCAGTCAATCAAGTGTCTTGCATCTGAGTTCCTGCCGGCAGGACCTGGAGACATCGGTTTTCAATCTCTCTAGTAGGTCTAGAACGTCACATCTGGTCACCACCTGAGCTTGGCACAGTTCTTCAGGCTCCCTTCTTCCTGAAGACAGTGGCTGTGGCAGGGGTACCTTCCCAGACAGCACACAAAAGCAAAGAAATCCTTGAGCTTCTCTGCCATCTCCCCAACTTCCTTTATCGACCCCTTGATTCCTCTGTCACCCAAAGGGGCCCCACTGCTTCTCTGGCTGGTTTCCTGCTCCAGATGTGTTTTTTAAAAGTTTGTTTGTCGATGCTGTCAGCAGCTCACTCTGTAAGATCTATTTCCCCACACCTAGTTATCAATATTCTCTCTCTCTCTAACCTCCCCACCTGATGTTGGAAGCGCCTGGGGGGAGGGGGGTCCAGCACCCAACTCCCAGCCACAAGCTGGCTCCTGGCCCAGGAGAGGATCATCTCTCACCTGTTCTCCCCGCAGAGGCAGGACAGGACGGGCAGCTGCGCAGCTGGGGGCCACTTTGTTTTGCTGGGTGTCTGCTCCAAACTGAAACCACATTAAAAGGAAAGGATGGAAATGTAACCGGGGAGGGAGGGAGAAACAGAAACCTCTCCCAAGCCCAGGACCGTCAAGAGCTGTGGCGACATCGGCTGTCTTTGCAGGGAGCAGGCTTTGTCCTTCCTAGTCCTGGAGCCAAGGGTATATATACCCAGCTGGTGCAGAGCACCTCGCCGCCTTTGAGGTGGCATCCAGAGAAGCTGCTCACTCGGCTCTACATCCCAGATGCTTCAAAAGGGAATTAGATAAGCCTATGGAGCAGAGGTCCATCAGTGGATATTAGCCACAAGGTATAGATAGGGGCTCTGGGGCAAGTGATGCTCTGTCTTCTTGGTGCTTGGGGGGGATCAACAGTGGGAGGGCTTCTAATGTCCTGGCCCCACTGCTGGACCTCCTGATGGCACTAGTATTTCTGGCCACTGTGTGACCCAGAGTGTTGGACTGGATGGGCCTTTGGCCTGATCCAACATTGGCGTCTCTTATGTTCTCTTATGCTGGCATGAATGGCCTGTCCCCCGTGCCCTCTCACCAGCCCACGCCCAGGAATTTGTGTGCTGGCTGCCCTGGGGGCCATCAAAACAGTACCCACCGCCCCCACTCCTCCTGTAACGGCATGGCCAGCCAGCCCGCCAAGCGCCCTGTGAGCATGACTCCCTCCCCCTTGTTCTACTCCGCCCCCCCCCCACACACACTACTATCCCATACGTGGCTGCTATGGACCCCAGGGAGGCTGGGGGACGCCTTCTGCAGAATGGTCCTCCTCCTCCTCCTCCTCCTCTTCGCTCAACCAAAAGACCAGCTTTGCCTTTTGGCCCTCAGCCCCGGCCCCTGGTTTGTCATGCGGGCCCCTGCTGAGGTGACAGGACTGCCCAAGAACGTAGGGCCCCTTGGGAAGGAGAGGTCTCGGGAGTGGCTAATTCAGCCTTGGAGGCGTGGGGACGCCCTGGGGCCGGAGTGGCTGTGTTGCCTTCCCCGTGTGTCCCGAAACTCAGAGGAGCAGAGCTCTCGGGAGGAGTGGCTGGCAGCGGGGCAGCTATGGACATGGTGCAACCAGCGTGATCTCTGCGCTTGGGGTGGGAGCGTGTGTGTGTGTGGGGGGGGTGTTCCATGCTGCAGAGGGGCTGACTCTCGGCCTCAAGGCGCTAAGAAAAGTGCCGCCCTCTTTCCTGTCTTCAGCAGGGCAGCTGGGGTGGTGTACATGGCTCTGCGTCCATTCTGCTCAGACTGAGCGTGTGCGACTGGCTCAGAGTCAGCAGAACGGGGCGTGGAAAGTGGGTCTCCAGCCTCCTGCCCTGACCTTCCCAGCACTGCACCAGATCATCCTGCCCTGGCTGGTGAGCTGGTGACACCACACAAGGCCCCTGCTCGCTCCGAGATCGCATGCCGCTCGCCAGGATCTCAGGCGGCAAAAGGGTCTTCCCCATCACCTACTGCCTGGTCCTTTGAACTCAGGATGCCGTCGGGGAGTGCTAGAACCTACAACCTCCTACATGCCAAGCGGAGGGCCTTCTGCCGAGTTGCAACACCCCTCCTCCTCCTCCCTGGTCTTTTGCACATTTTAATCCTGAGAGGCATTTGCAGTCCTTGGCTGAACCGGGGCCGCAGAGTGGCTTTCACAAGTGGTGCAGGCCAGGCCCACAGGATGGCTGCTTCTCGGATAGTGGTGCCAGGTTTGGGTCCAAAACCCAGGGCAGGGCAAAGCAGGACTCTTTGGGTCCAAAACCCAGGGCAGGGCAATGCAGGAGCATCACGTTACCAACCATCATAACAGGAACATGACCTTCGAGTGGCTCTTCTCCTGTGGCCACTTGCGCCAGGGAAGGGCTGCTAGGATGGGGACAGGAGGAGGATGGGGGGGGGGGG